AAAAAAGTATTGTAACTGAAGCCTCATTCCTCATCAGAACTGGGAAGGCATTAATGAAAAATTGTCCCATGACAGCCTCCCTGGAGAGACAGGCTGGGGAGTGGGGAGATGGCTTTTAAATTGATTTTATTGGGTGACATTGGTTAATAAAATTATATAGCTTTCAGGTGTACAATTTCAGGTATATAATACATCATCTGCATATTATATTGTGTGTTCACCACTGCAAGTCAAATCTCCTTCCATTACCATTTATCTCCTCTCAGGAGATGGCTTTCAGGTAGTGCCTCACAAGTCTCCCATCCTCTCCTGTCCCAGAAGGATGGCCTGCAAGTTCACCAGGATCAAGCTGTTGCCCTAGAGACATCCTCCAAGTATCTAAAAGTATTTTAGTCTAAAATTAAGGTCATCATCTTCTGACACAAGCTATTCTTCCTCTGTTCTACACACACACACACACACACACACACACACACACACACAAACACACACAGTGTCAGCATTCAAATGACCACAAGTTTGATATTCAAAAGTCATTTTTATCCCTCCCTCTCTCTTACCCTATACACATCCTTAGGCTCTCTCATATTCTGCTATCTCTATTCCCATTGTCACTTTCTTAGTTTACAGAATTTATTCCCTCTCATCTGGGTTATTGTGATAACCTCCTCACCAGTCTTTTAAAGCCAAGTCTCTCTCTTCTCCAATCCACCTTATACACTGCTGCAAGATTAACTTTCCTGAAGCACAGCTCTGACCACGACATTCCCTTGCTCAGAAAACTTCAGACTAAAAAGGCCAAATATCCAAGCCTCCCATCACATCCTGGTCCCAGTGGGCCTTTTTAACTTCATTCTTTACTTGGTACTTGGAGTCAAAAAGACCTGTGTTTGAGTCCTGGATCTGCCACTTACTAGATATGCAACCTTGGAAATGTAAATTAAATGCTCTGAGCCTCTGTATCCTCATCTGTGGGATGAGAATAATAATAATACCATTTACATCAAAGGGTAAAATTAAAAATGTATTTGTGAAAGCTCTTTATAAACTCCCTAAGGACCTAGGGTTTTGACTATTTGTGAACTTCATGCTCTAATTAAACTCAACTACTCAGTATTCTTTATGCCTTTGTTCATGCAGTTGTTACTTTTGCCTGGAATGCCCTCCCCTCCCCACACCCATATCCACATGTCCCAATCCTTCAAATCTCAGCTCAAATATCACGTCTACAAAGCTTTCCCTAACCCTCCTCTTCCTGGTAGGCTGGAAGTCATCCCTCTCTCCTCTAAACCCCCACAGCACTTGAATGTGTATATCTTTACTGATATATCACTTTTCATTTTGTTGTTATACAAAGCATAAACCTTCTGTACATATTTTATCTTTCTTACTAGAAGAGTGAATTTTTGTACCTACCATGGTGGCCTTGCCCACAGTGAGTACTCAATAAATATTTATCAAATGAATGATTCACTAGAAAATTAATGCACAAGTAGAGGAGAAAACTGTTGAAGGAAAACCTACACTGAAAGTTTTGGATTACCAGTTAACACTTTGTTCTCCCTTTTCCCTATTATTAATATGACCACAAATAGTTGTGATTTGGATTTAAAATATATGTTTGTATATATATACACACACACATACACATATATATGTAGGCATGCATGTGTGTGTATATATAAAATACTCATAAAAACTTGTATTCATATGGGACTGCTTAGGCCAGGCTTAGGTTAATGCTTAAGACAAAAATCATACAAAGAATTAAAGATCATCCATAAAGTTCAGTACACAGTAGACACATATGGTTTTGCACAGTGTCACTGTGAGCTTAGCTGATCGAAAAGTACATTTGTCTCCTATTCCCCACTAAGTAAATTGTCACTTTTCCCTCTCTTTTTTTCTTTTATTAAGTTACATGCACATAGACCTCATTCCACTGTGCAGAGTTTCACTTAGGCATGGTACAAAACTTTAAAGATATAGTCCCTGTTCTCTAGGATTCAAAATATGTCAATGCCACTTTTTCCCCAGCACCTTCTAATGGA